GGGATTCAGGTGTAGAAGTAGTTTTCTGTATAGTTATGTTGTTCAGTCATGGGAGGAGTGTTGATTAGGCCCTTTGAACGGTGGAGGAAAGTGGATATCTGTAGGGCCGGAGTGTTGGGTTTCCGATACTTTGGATCATCAGGATTTTGTCACGATGGGAAAATGGTAGGAAGGATAGACCTTATGGAAAGGTTCGATTGGGATTTACACCACCTTTAACAGTTCGTAGTTGCGAAAGTGTATCATAGATCAAGAGAGGATAGTGTCGTTGGATGACATTCAGGTCGTCGAGCGCCTGGATTATGTTGAGAGGCCTGTGGCCAAACTAGAAAGAAGGGTGAAGGTTCTGCAGAACAAGGAAGCACCTTTGGTATAGGTAAAGTGGGAGCACCATAGAGGGTCTAAGTGGACGTGGGAGCCGGAGGCAGGGATGGGGGAGCACTAGAGGAGGATGTTCACAGCAGCAGACTTAGAGGACGAAGTCTAGTTCAAGTGGGGGAGAATTGTAACACCCCGATTTCCCGAGTATCAATTTATGGTTATAAATTCTCATGATTTTGAGGTCTAATCAACAAGTTGGTTGCCTGACTCGCCGAGTAGCAGCGGGTTGGCCACGCGTTTAAGTGATCTAGTCGCAGAGTCCACAAAGGGACTCGACGAGTAGGAGCTGGTGGAGGAAAAACCCTAATTCTGGGATTTTGCACCCTATTTAAAGGATCATTGGCCTCCCCAGCCTCCCATTTATAGCCTCTTGAGGATCCAAAACCCTAGATCGTGTTTGTGTAGTTCATTGGTGTGTTTAAGCTTGGAAGAAGGATCTTGGTGAGGAAAAACTTAGGGAAAACAACTGGATTGAAGCAAGGAACTTGTGGGAATGAACATCTAATTCAATTGACATCTTTTGGAAGGTATTAAGTTGCTATCTCAACACCATTTCATTCTAGATCTCTTTTGGGCTTTTCTAGCATAATAAGAAGCCGTTCTTGAGTATAAGCTAGGATTTGAAGTTGTAACTTCAGATCTGGACTCTCCTTGGGCTCTAAGTCCATAAAGTAGCCAGATTTGTCAAGTATGAACCTCCCCTCAAGTTTTGGACTTTTTTGCAAGCTTAGTTTTATCATTTTAAGGCTTTAGAGCATCGCATGCACGTAAAGTTTGCAACTTCACATGATAAGCATGCCTTGGGAAGTTGGATCTGCAATATGGAGGCTTTGCATAGCTTAAAAAGCATCAGTATAGAAGAAGGTCTGAGGGGACTCGGCGAGTGGCATGGTCGACTCGACGAGTCCGTCGAAGATGGTCGTGGGTTGGGCGTGTCGGATGAGTGACTCGGCGAGTCTGATGAAGATTACCTTGGACTCGGTGAGTCAGTTTAGTAACTCGGCGAGTTGGCAAGTTATGCTAGAACTCGGCGAGTAGTTGAGGGTACTCGACGAGTTGAGGTCAACATGGACTGTTGACCTTGACAGTTGACTTTGACTTTGACCAAGATTTGACCAGTTTGTTGCCTGAGGATATTTTGGTAATCTGTGAATTTATGGAATTGGTCCTATGGTAGTTATAGGTGGTGGAGTTCGGGGCTGTGATTCGGGGGTTTGATCTTATCTTGACGGTTCGGCATTTCAGGGTGAGTTATCCTCACTTTATCAACAGGGTCTAAGGCACCAAGGTCGGCCCTTTCTCGGATTGTGTACTGGTATTTGTTTGATATGCTTTTAACCTATTAGATATGTGTCCTGGTAGTTAGGACGATAATATGTTAATGACCTGGTTAGGTCTTTATCCTGGTATATAAGATGATGCCGTGTTAGTGACCTGGTTAGGTCGGTATCCTGGTTAGCATGTTGTTATGCTATATGATCTGTTAGATCGATTTAGTTATTTATGGATTGTTATGTGATTATCTGTTGATGTGCAGAAGTTATTGATATGGGGGTTGTGTTGAGGCAGGTCCTACTTTGTGGTGTAGGCCAACTTACCCAGGGAGGACCGGATGGACTACAGACCCAGGAGGGCACATAGTCAGGCCGAAAGCCCAGCGAGCAGTCCAGATAAGCTGAAGGCCCCGAGAGGGCGGTCCAGATGTGCCGAGGCTCGGAGAGTGGGCCAGAGAGAATGAAGGGCCAAAGTGGGCGGTACAGTCATACTGTAGACTCAGAGGGTGGACCAAGTTGACTGAAGTTCCGGTGAGGGCGGACCAGTCGTACTCTAGACTCGAGATTCATGGTTGTTCTATGTTTTTTATATGATATGGTTATGATATTGTTGTGGTTGGTATTTGGAGGTAGCTCACTAGGCTTTTGGGCTTACAGTTTCATTTGATTCTTTCAGTTACTTCTGGTGATCGTGGGAAGGCAAAGGCATGATCGTAACGCTCCTCCTGCTGTTATGATTTTATGATTTGATACTGGGATACTCTGATAATTTTTATATTGAAAACAAACTGTGTAATGTTGAATGGTAATTAAGTGTTTTAAAAATGTTAAAAAATTTGCTAAAATTTTACGGTTGTTACATTAAAAAGGAAAAAAAGAAAAGGGACATACTTTTAAGGCGATTAAAGAAGGAACACTAACACCTTTTGAAGTCTGCAAAGACTAAAGAAACAGTACCAACAACACTAGATTACGAGTATCCGGATGATTCTACACTGTTCTATAGAATTAATGACTTATATCTAGTTTTTTTTACAAATTTTCCCAGCATATGTTTTCCTTTTGTTTGCAAAAGTGGATGCCACTTTATAAGAACAATAGGGATAAAATAGACTTATGAGATACAATGTCCATGGCATAAAAAGCTCTTGTAATGTTGGACTACATATATAGTTCAATATAGTTTTCAATTCTATGTGAAATATACTAAATAGCACTAAAAATGACAAAATAATCTTGTGGACAAACATCATTACGAATAACATGTTGTAATAGATGGTTATGGACGAATAAATTAGGTTGGAATTTCACCAAAAAGTTAAGAATTGCAATTTGCGTCGTATATATAACATCAGGAATTGTACAATTCGTATGGCTATGGACTTATGAAGTTAAGAATTCAAAATAACTACACTTGTAAACGCTATTTTACAGCCAAAATCTAGCTCCAACTTCCAAATATCAGAATGATATTTTCTTTAATTGTTCAAACGACGTAGGGAATTAATAATTCATACAACTACTTGAACGGAAGAAACTGAGACGAGCCATTGATGTCGGTTTTAACATACCAAACCCTTACTCTTCTGAATTCACTCAACTCAAATAGAAAAAAGTAAACTAAGCTTAACACATGAATTTCGACGAAAAATAAAAATCGAGATATAGGGAGATGGTACCAAAGTTCGTTGAGGGGAACAGTGAAGAGAAGGATAAATTTAGGCTCCCCAAAGCTCCATTGATTTTAGAAGAGTAATGTGTGTGAAAATTTTGTTGAGTGAGTGGAAAGATGCAGGGTTTTTTGTGCTGCTGGAGCCGGTGGTCACGGTTGAGAAAAATGGTGGATTGGCCCACCGTGTTTGCATTCGATCCACATTAAATGCCTTTATTTCATACCTAATATCACCAAGCAAATGCCTTCGATTTTGGGAAGAAGTCGTGTCAAGAGAATGGAGTAGAAGAAGAATATGCAAATTTCCCCTAGAACCGTTAAGCGTTATTGGGAGGGTTTCAGTACACCAACATGACATTTTGGGTGGTTTAATGGAAATTGGATGTTGTAGGTTTTGATGTTGGAACGCAGGAGCAACAACTGGTAAATTCAACAATTGGTGTATGCATTGAACCGCGGGCGTTGAAGAAACGTAGGGAGAAGTTGAAAAGGATATAGAGGGTGTCGTGGGCGAGGGTTGCGATCTTCAGATCGTGATGAAGGAGATAGTGGGAGGAAGGAGAATCGGAATGAAAACGATCGTGATATAACCGTAAATAGTGAGTTTATGCGGTTGTAATGCGAAGTTGGAGAGATCCTAGGGTTGAAAATGAGGGAGTGGTTTTTGATGTCTGGCGTTAATTATATTAATAATTATTTTTTTTATAAGTTTAAATTATACATCTCATAAGGTAATCCAATAAATAAGGTAATCCAATAAAAATCTTATTTTATTGTGGTCATTTTAATTTTATAAGCAATTTAACATTTAGTTATACAATATCATTATATTTTTTAATTTACAAACTAAAATTGTCTCATATATGTTAAAAAATAACGAATATATTTATTTGCATCAACGATTATAATACTACATAAATAACAAAACATAAATATTTTAGTTAATAATTTATTGAAAATATTTAATTAATGATTATGAATTATGACATCGAAAATTTATTTATTTTTATAACCATTATTCCCACGGGTTATAATATAGTCATCATCAGCAATTCTGAAACTGCAAAATAAATCAATTTATCAAATTGCTTATGTATTATTTTGTAATCATAACTGTTATTATTTTCAAAACGTTAACCATATTATAAAGAATTCAAAGGATGTTGGAATGCTTACGGCAAAGAGAGTCGAAAAGGATTATTGATGATGACTATTTGAACTCATTCTCAAAGACCGTGAAAATGAACAACAAAATCTTGATTCCAATGGAATAACAAACCGATTAGCGTATCGAAAATAAGGAATAAGTGAATGAGCTTGTAAACAAAATCAAACTTGAGGAAGAAGGTAAATTTAAAAAAATGGGAATTGGATTGAGAAGAATATGAGGCTAATTTTTTGCTTGAACATCAAGAATTGATTAATCAGATGAAAGTGGAGTTAAAAATGCAAGAACAACATAAACAACAAAATTTCACGTCACAAACCTTACCCATTAGGCCAACCTGTTGAGGCTACTAAACATATTAATCAACTCCCAACAAAAATTTTACGCATATTGTTTACAATATTATATTAACTTCTAATAAGAAATACATATACCTTTTTATCAACTTCATCTAATCCGCAGATATGTTACTTAATTGTCCATTCCGAATGTCATTTGTTATATGCTAGACATCATCTTCAACCTTAATATTGCGATCAGATTGACCTATCAAAACTAGTGTTTCTATGTAGGAATGCACAAAGAATGTTCCAGGTTTTCCATACATCCCATGATATTTGAAGCATTCAATATTGGGCTCATACACCATAAGTGCACCCTGTTCATAACACATATGAGCATTTTCCACTTTCACTATAGGTTTACCATTCTTCCTAAATCCAAGTGTTGTTATTGACATTGACCAATAATGTGGTGCCTCAACAGTAAATCTCTTTGTAAATGATTTCTCAACAGCATTCTCTATCATCCATACACTACAAGCACGTTTGTGATAGCTATCATATTCAAGCAGGACAAGAGACTCCCTTACCTTAGAAATACACAATTGTTTTGGAGAGTGGCGCCTTAAACTATCTGGGAGTTCTACCACTCCAAAACTCTCATTAGTTATGTCAAATGACATTATAAAATTATGATTCCGTAACTCACTATCTACATTCATAGGGTCAAAAGCACACCAATAAATAAACCTATCAACAACAACCTGAGGCCAAAAGATACGAAATGGCTTACCAGGAAGATTGTTAGATAGATTTCTCCAATTGCCTGAGCTCACAGTGTAAACATTAGCATCACAATGGTAGCTAGTTTTGTGAAATTGTGTGATCTCTACTATTTTAGGGTCAGTAGTCACAGGGGAAACCCCAAAACAAAGATTAGTTTCAGGATCCAGATTAAACTTGTTAGGCATAGGAACAGCGATTGAGTTTCTAATCGAAGGATTCCAAAGAACAACCATCTCCATTCCCAAGTTATAACATGGAAACAAAATAACCCCAAAGAACTACCGACTATATTTGCATTTTTGAGTAGTTTAATGGCATGAGGAAGGGTATGAACAAACCTCTGGTGAGGGAAAGTGTCATCATCTGGGAAAGAAAGATACTTTCCAACAGTGTCAGATTCCTTATCTTCATACCTTATAAGGAGATGCTGCGACTCAGTAACGCTGTGAGCAGCGATAAAATTAGAGGTGTCGATCAAAGATTTCCGTGTTTTCGAGACGGATCTGAACTGAAGCAATGATACGATAGGAAGCCTTTTGATGATCAGCTCTTGGATATGGAAAGGAATTATGTCGAACATTTTGATTCCGGATACTGCTGCGTATGAAATTCTAGGGTTTTGCAATCGGATGGAGGAAGGGGGACTTGGGAAATTGTGTGTTATTAGATGATTTCAAAAGAAAATTGAGTAGTTCGATAGATACACGTAAGATGCACACCACTACTAGAGGTCGCAACGGTCGAACTGGGAACCAACCACGGAACCGATTCAACTAAAAACCGGTTTTAAAATATTGCTTCCTAATGTATGTAACTCATGTGGGGACCATCATATTCATGAGCCGGAGCAAGTTTCCCTTTTACGCCTAATATGTTTGTCTTCTCTGCTCTTAATACGAGCCCATATGTAAATAATATCTCTAAAATCTAGTAATTTTCTAAACTAAATCTCAATCCCTTTGATGATCACTCTGCATTTAACTTTGAAGAATCGAGGGTTAAGAGAAGAAAATTAGCACGATCTTCTCCTCGAAGATTTTCTCCTTAAGGCAGCGTATCCCGAAATAAGAATTCAGTTGCTGCTAGTCCTAACACACCACCTACAGTCAGCATTCCTATCGATCATCTACCCTCAATCGACCTTAAAAGGACCATGGTTAAATCTGGTTCCCCATGCATCTTTTCGTCTGAGTTATCTGCATCTATCGAAATGATGAACATTTCTAAACTTGGCTATGATGTTGGATTTCAAATCGGTGCTGGAAACCATATACTTGCTGAAATAATGAATGGTGAAAATGGAGATATTCCCATTTCACACACACACACAAAAAAAAAAAACACTCCCTGAATATTTGTTTTATCAGGGCATCTCGTATGGTTCATTGGGAGAATAGATTAAAAACATCTCACAAATCATTTTTCTATGTCTTCAGGAAACTCGGGTCTTAGACTCTTCCTTTGTTGATATTCGTGGATATTGGTGAGATTTATGAAAGAATGGATAATATGATGGGTGAAATCAAAGACATGATGCAAGAAAGTACTTGTGTTACCTGTTACCCACAAGTAGAGAAAATAATTTTAACTAGGTGGGAGAAGATGAATATCCCACTACATTGGTTGGGGTTCACATTAAACCCACGATTTGATGATATGTAATATTTTCAAAACATGGCACCTGGTGGTATGCAAAGGAACCCACTAAATCTAGACAAAGAGGTTATGCAAGGTGTCATGGAATCCTTCGATAGATTTTCTGAAAATGAAGAGGAGGGACAATTTTTATGAGATCAATTCATAACATTCACTACAAGAATCTTGTGCTATGCAGACGACTCCTATCCAGACGACACATGTCATCGCCAAAAGTCGACCTATCCAGACGACATGTCGTCCGTAAAGGGTTTTCAAACGTTGACTCCCTTCCTTTGACCAGAAGAGCTATAGAGACGACATGTCGTCTGTATAAACTCGGCAGGAAATGTGAAATTTTTGGCGGTATATCGAAAATATTTACAAACAAAATGTGGTCTGGAAAAGTGTCTAAATAAATAATTTCGATTTATTTTAATTTCTTGTAGCAGCAAGTCAAAACGCCACCGTTTTTGTCATCCTGTACCGATGACATGTCGTCGGTATAGGGTGATTTAAAATTAATTTAGATTTATTTATTGCCCTTGTTAGAGAAACTGGAAAACGATGTCATTTCTTGTGCTATAGAGACGACATGTCGTCTGGAAAGGTGCGACCGATCCGCGTGAAATGTTTTTTTTATTTTCTTTTATTTATTAATCACGTTAAGCGAAACGACGACATATTGGGCTACCTATACAGACGACATGTCGTCTGTATAGTGTTCCCTATAACAAAACCCCATTTCAGCTTTCTGTTTGCAGTCGAGAACCGATCCTTTTTTCTCTCAAGCTCGTCGGCGATCGCAAGGTGCTTCCAACTCGAATTCGTCGGCTACCATAAAGGTAAAGTGTTTTGGTCCTTCATTGCTTCTTAATTTGTGATAACTTGTGTTTGATTTGTAATAATTTGGAGCCCTAAATCTAAGCCCCATTTATCTATTGGCCAGCAAAAGGTTCAAGTGCTCCATAGAAAAGGGTTTCCAGTGATTAACCAAAATCTAACACCGATTTTGAGGTTAATATATTGATTTCCTTTTGCTGTTAAATACCACAGTCCACAATGACGTTTTTTTTTTCAATAAATCATGATATGTATATGCATTTTTTTATGCACCATAATGCTCCATAAATCTTAAATGTCTAAATGTTAAATATGTGAAAAGAGGGTATAAGGCCACATTTTGCTTTTTTGCTTTCTAAGTGCATACAACGTTATATATTGGCCACATTTTGTTTTCTATGTGCATACAATGTTATATATTTTACTTATTTACAAGTAAAAGTGATGATAGAAGGCTATAAGATCTTTACAATTTGAGTTTATGTGCAACCTTATAGAACTAGCAAACAAACTTCATGTATACATTATGTTAAGCTAGAAACATTATGTAACGCCTATGTTTCCAGGCTTGCCATTTTTAGCAATGTAATAGTCTAGGTTAACCTTTGTAACCCGTTTTGAAATAATAAGAGTGTATTATTTGAGTATTATGTGTTTTGTGTTTAATTGCTTAATTATGTGGTTTGATTAATTAAGAATAAAAATAAGCGTCAAAATTTAAGTGTAAAATAAACTTGATATCTTTGGATAATATTGTAGTAGTTGAAATGAGGTTTCTGAATATATATAGAACGCCCAAATCCGACTTTGTATGAGGAAGTTATGAGTTTCTAAAGTTTCGACTTAGCGGTATGCAGCCTGAAATACTCGATTTGAGATTGAGCGGTTTTTAGCCGAAGCAATCTAAACGAGAATCGAAGATCTCGTTGTTGGTATCGAAGCGATAAAAAGTTAGGCGAGAACGGACGTCAAACGAAGAAGTTATGAATTTATAACGAAATTTTCTATCCCGGCCTATTAAAAATAAATAATAAAAATAAAGTCAAAATTAGCCGATGGAGTCTAAACGAAAGTTGTAGAGCGTAGTCTCACCTACGCATAGATATAAAGAACATCGAAAACGGAGTTCGTATGAAGAAGATATGAATTTTCGAAGTTTATTAAAGAATTAATAATTAAATTTAATTATTAAATCCGGGCATTATCCGAAGACGAGTCATCAGACTCATCAGAAGTACGCCCCACGTACTAGCGTACGCCCCGCGTACCCCGATGCATGCACCGCCTCGCAATCGAGTCTTCGGATACGTAAGCAATGACGTTTCTGAGGCAGTACACCCCGCGTACTCCGAGGCTCCAGCCTCCTATAAATAGGATGCGAGGGCAGCCGACTCATTTGCTATTTTTCTCTCTTCTTTCTCCTGTTTTGCATCGTTTTGCGTTCCAGAAGTACCCCGAAGCCCCGGAAATATTCCCGAGCCCCGAAGCAAGTTTCGAAGCCCCGCAGATCCCGAGAAGTGCGATTCCCGAGCCGAAACTCTGCCCGCGAGAAGTTTGATTTTTATGGAGATCTTCCAGATCTACTGAGGATTTCTACTTCTGCAAGCCGCAGTGCTGTCCGATCATCTTCTGATCAAGTGAGTGTGTAGTTACTTTCTTCTAATGCATAATTATGAAGTATTTTATACGAAATACGTGTTATGTGTATAATTTTGTTGTTATGTGTGTGAATGTATGTTCACTCTCTTCTATCTCATAGATCTGATTTGTTTTCTATGAAATACGTGTTATGTGGGTGTGCCTCATCAAAAGGATTTACTCTGAAATTATTATAAAAGGATTTACTCTGAAATCAAAAGGATTTACTCTGAAATTATTATAAAAGCATTAATGAAAATTATTATAAAAGCATTAATGAAAATCGGTCTTTTCTAGCTGTGATTTTGGGGATGTCACACATTACCTTAAAAAGTATTGTCTTGAGTTATTTGATGTAATTATACGATATTGTTTGAATTGTAAAGTGCTTAATATGGTTTCAAAGCGTTCAATTTTGTTAGTGACTTAATGTTGGTCATTATGGCTTTAGCTTAATTAGGTTATTAATAGCAACATACTTTTAGTAATTTAAAAATAATTATGAAGTAAATGTGAATTAATTAAAATCAAATTAAATTAGTTTTAAAATCAAATTAATATTAATATTAAAATTAAATTAAATTAAATATAAAATCAAATTAATATGATTTTCTTATTAGGACACGTTGAATCATTGATTTTTAGTTTAAGGTTCTTCTTCATAACCATTGTGAATACTCTATCCAATTAATCTAATTTCTACTTCTCGAGTATATATTTTTTTTATATACTTGAGAATACTCTATCCATTCTCGGGTATATATTTATTTATCTAGCACAAATACAATCTAACTTTCAATAACTACATATATAATATAATTTTTAAAAGTGAAACAGCGATGACGATCGATAAGAGTTGGATTAGAGAGAACCGAATGTCTTTAAAATACTTGGAAGGTCTTAAAAACTTTATGAAGATTGTCGAGAAACATGTCAACTCTAAAGGAATAGTGCGTTGCCCGTGTAAAACGTGTGTGAATTCGTAGCGACATGTTTTGCCTACAGTTTATGCCCACTTAAATGACATTGGGTTTCTAGAAACACATATTACGTGGATTTATCACGGTGAGAAACATTTTGGTACTTCCGATTTAAGCTACAATTCGAATCCAAAAACAAACACACCCATAAGTAATGAGATGTTTGATGTAATTGATGATGTTATGGCCGAACAAAATACAAATGAAGAAAATATAGACGAGGAGCGACGAGGTATAGACCCAGAATTTGATGATTTGTTTGAGGAGCTGAATACGAAGTTATACCCTGAATGTAGCGATATGTCTGCCTTAAACTTTTTGGCAAAGTTGTTGCATATTAAAGTGATCAATAGATGGACAAATAGTTCGTTTGATCAACTTGTAGAGTTACTTAGAGTTGCTTTCCCGAAGAGCAAGATTCCAGCTTCACACTATGAAGATAAAAAGAAGTTGAGAAAGATAGCGTTAGGATATCAATCAATCC